CAGCGGTGGGAACGCAGAAGCAGCAAGAATGCGGCAGCAGTAAATAGGAGCACCTGCAGACACCACCGGCACTGGGAAGTGGGGGGCAGGTGGCAAGCGCTGACCAGGGAAAGCTATCTTGGTTATAACATGCAGTGACATGCCATCAACTACTCCAGGAGGAAGCTAGCTCCCTAAACATTTTGCAATTGCAGAAGCTGGTGCACCCCACTGCAGTGCATAACAATGACCTCTAGTGCAGACCAAACCAGTCTTAATGCATCTGCAGAATGAGCCAGAATACAAACCTTCAGATGGCCTCTAAGCTTCACAGACCAGGAGACCTGTTTTGATTGAAGCAAGGCAGGACAGCAAAAAGGCAGAAATCAAGTCTGAGTGACAAGAGTGTTAATATCACAACTGAGCAGGGAGCTGCATGAGAAGGGCCAAGTCTTATTTTCTACAAATACAGCAAGATGGCCTTTAACTTATTTCTAAGGAGCAAGACAACACAAGGTTGAGTTGTGCAGCAGAAGCAATTAGTTAAGAAACCACTACAAGCAAAGATAGAAAATAAGGCCCAGGAGCAGTGTCCAAGGTTCTTCAGTTCTTTTTGAAAATAACTTTTAATTGTTGCATCTTTTCTTTTAAAGCCTTCCTGCTTTCAACTCTGTTGTGGGTAATAAGCTTTCACCAGTAGGATGCTGAAACACTGATAGTACTGAACAAACAAGGGCAATATCAGAATGATTAAAACACACACTCCTTCCAACCTGGCATCTGGCAGCATCATGACCAGTCACCATAACTTCTAGGCTGAAGTCTGCTTCAGGAAGTTTACTCCATTTTTCTCAAGAGTGCCCTGTCACCCTGCCATTTCTATTAGGCTGAATTTAGTAAGCTTGCTTATGTCCTACATCTAAGCTAACCTGTATTTCATGGAAGAATGCAATCAGAAAATGGAAGACAGGGACATAAAGTACTAATCAGTTACCACCGCTCACTACATTACTTACTTCTGGCAATAAGCTCTGTTGCCGAAACCACCAAAAAGCTTGAGAACTTGTCCCAAAAATGCAGAAGGCTCCCCCACCCTCACAACCCATCCATAAAAGAGCATTGAGAAAAGATGACTGTGGGGAGGGGGGCTTGATAATAGTCTTTAAACACCTGAAAGGCACTTCCAGAGAAGATGGAGATGGGCTTCTCTCTGTAGCTGTAGGGGATAGGACTAGAAGCAATGGCCTCAAGCTTCAGCAGGAGAAACTTTGTTTGGATATTAGGAGGAACCTTCTGATGATGAAGGTGACTGAGAACTGTAACAGGTTACCTGGAGAATCTGTAGAATATCCATCCCTGGATATTTTCAAAAGCAGGTTGGACAGGCACTTGCCTGGGATGGTTTAGTCAGGGATGATCCTGCCTTAAGCAGGGGGGTAGACTATATGACCTTGTGAGATCCCTTCCGGCCCTACTTTCCTATGTTCCTGTAGCCAGCATAAAGACTTCATACGAAAAATTATTTTGCTGTTGGCAGAGCTAAGGTTTGAGTTTGTGCTAAACTTCCTTTTGACTTCAAGGCTTATATCACTTATTGACTGCAGATCTTAGGGTATATTAACCTGATTTTACAGTACGAGGCATGGGGCATTGGCGAAAGAAGACAACTTCTGCAATCAGTGGCAAAGCTAAGCTAATCTTACCCCTTACTGTAGCAGACCACAGTTGTCAGCTGTACAGTCTGTGTTCCATCAGTTTAGTAGTCTTGCATTTCAGAGTTTCCACTTGTTGTTAAGAAATGCCAGGACACTTTCTACTCACCTCTACCTTCAGAAATTAAGGCACACACATGGGGTAATCTCAGTGTAGTGTTTTATCTCCACCCACTGGAACATTTACCTTTGAATGGAAGCATTTTACAAACAATACAATGTCAACACCACTTATTTTTGCTCTGCATTGAAAGGAAGAGTAAAACATTGGGAAAAGTACTACAGTCACATGGGAATTATGCAGAATCTTACAGAATGTACTGTAGGATTTAAAACTCTGAAATTGAGCTTCCAGCAGTTCCAGAGAGACTGGCTAAGGGACAAACCACTTTTTTAAATATATAAAAGTTTCTTGGGGGGAGATGGTAAGAAGTTTCATTTGCCAGACTGTGATGTTGTATATGGTGCATTAGCACAGTTTTTGTACACATGCTAAAAAGGAAATTCTCCTAGTACAAAGCCATCTAAAAACTCAGACTGCACAAAACTTAGCTACTAAAATGAAGGTTCGGTAAAAAAAAATCTATTTCCAAAAACACTTTACAGATAAAGGTTTCCAATTGCTGTAACTAGGTGAAAGTTTAGTAGGATGGTAACCAAAAACAAGTGCTATGAGGTTTCACGGAGACGGTTATGCTTTAAAATAAAAAGTCTGTCATGTGTTAAGCACATCATCTTCCCCATCCAGAGTTCACTCTGGAGGCTCCTCCTCTGCAGGCTCCTTGTCTGCTGCAGCAAGTCCTTTGCTTTCTTCTTCACCTCCTTCTAGCAGGTGCTCCTCCTCACCAGTGAAAGCTTCCTCTTCGGCCTGTGAACTCTGCTCCTCTGGGTGTTCTGTATCTGCCTCTGCCTGTGTTTGTGCTTCTGCTTGTGTCCCTGCTTCTATCTCTGTCTCCATCCCCATGTCCTCTTCCTCCCCCGGATTCTCAGCTGCTTCCACTTCTGGATTTTCGTCTTGATCTTTGCTTTCCTCATTTTGATTCTCTTCTTCATAGTTTTCTTCATCATCCTTGTTTTCATCTCCCTCTTCAACTGTTCCTTCTGCATTTCCTCTGGTTCCACCCTCGCCTTCCTCGTGCTCCTCTTTTTCTTCTGGATCATCTGTGAAGGGATTCTCACCCTGTAAGTAAGGACAGAATTATACTTGGCAGCTGCACTTGGACATATTCTTGGCAAACTCAAGCTTAACACTTTCCCACTTGGCTGGAGTCACTCCAGTCAAGGGAGGAATTTCACACTGAAGTAGATACAGGTACATGCAAACTTCCTACAGGGAGTGACTTTGCTGATCACTGGTCTTGGAAGAGATTTCTAGACCAGGTAGTATTTGTACTGAAGCAGAGAGTTTAACCCCAACAATTCCTACATTAGCCAACCTTAAAAGCACAGGCATCATCTTAACCTACCAATGTCTGTTCTGTTAGAGAAAGTATGTGCATAAGTTCATGGCTACAAACAAGGCCTGAGAGGGTGCTCGAGTCCTACACTTCTGCTGATCTGAGCAGCCTGCTTTCAGAACAGCAAACTTAATGTGGAAAGATTTAAAAACCCAATTAGTCTGTTTAGAACAGCTGTTTGTGCTGTCAGGAAGACAAAAAAGACAGTACTTTTGGCTACTGGAAACTTACATCCAACAAAATGGAGCAACTCAAGCCAACACTTGAGTCTGACATTTTATTAGAAAGGTACTTAAGACATTCAGCTTGAGGTAGTAAGAAATTTCTGTAATGCAGTAGCTAGGAGGTGCTCTATTCAATCCAGGTTCCTCTACCAATACTTACCTTCAAGTACCGCTCCAGCTTCTTGCTGATCAGTTTATTGTTAAGTATACTTCTTGCAACTACTAAAGATGATTTCTTAGACTGCTCCATCATGGCCTAAAGGGAAGGGGTGAGAGGGTAAACAAAAACCCGTAAGAGACCAGAGCTGATTTTTCTTGTAGTGGGGGAGGTTACCACTTCAGTAGCTACAGCTCATTTCACCATATTTGCATCAGTCCTCTGTTCGGATTTAAAACTATAGTTTCAAACAAAACTTCCCAACACATCAAAAACCCCAGTGTCAGGGACTGGGTTTTCCGTCTACAGGTTGTGGAAGGCCTGAGGCCCTGCTAGCAGGTTTTTCTGTTGCACTGCACAATTTGAAAAGTTGGCTGTAAGCAAGTGGCACCTTGCCAACACCTTTTTGAACAAGCGAAGACTGTATTGTAACTGTAGAACACTAAAACCACGCTGTGGTGTCCCAACTGTAATTTGGGAAGTTACTATAAAGTACTAGTGAAGCCATGCAGACAGCTTTAATTCTATAATAATGACAGCAACAATAACACTAGCCGCTTTAATTCCTGATTTTAGACACTTTCCCCCCTACCACAGGCTCCAGGAATGCAACTATATCCAAGCTAGTACTCCAACTCTTTTATTGGAAAACAGACTCCCTCTTTAGGGACAGGAGTCTCTGTACCTGTTCAGCCAGCTGATAACAAGCATTACATTTTGCTAGCACCACACTTACTCTACGGTTGTGGTTGTGGTCAAGAGACTTCAGATGCTTCTGGATAATGCCATACTGCATTGGGATGAAGAGGTCACATGCAGCACAGTGAGCAGCCTCCACTTTTTTAATAAAGTGCTCCATGCTGATATCTGAAACAAGGAAAGAGCTTTGTTCATCAGGATTTAGCTTGAGGTCCTCCGTCCCCACCCCTGCCACCACACAAGTTCTGAAAAGCAGCCTGAGCACACTTATTGTTTAAACACATGCACACGCTCACAGAAACTGTATTTTCTACAACACAACTCCCAAACGATCCAGGAGGATGAGGAAAGCACTGTGTATTTCCAACTAAACAGGCATGTGGCTGCACACTTCAGAGATGAACACTGCAGGTCACTGCTGTATCAGCATACCGACATAACAGGCAAGGCTTTTTCAACTAGCCAGGTGACTTAACTGGCTTGGATGTAGACAACACACTGAGCAGCTTTTATTCTTTACCAACATAGAGAAAAGTTCCTGCAAGCTCATCCAGCCTGAAATCAATGCTATCCATATTAAGTATAGAGGACATTAAAAGCAGAGCTCTGCAGCAGGAAGATAAAGGAGGGGCCAGCTACAAACAGTTGTTCCTAATCAAAACTCTGGCTTTCCACAAGCCAACAATAGCTTTTTAAAGCATGGGTCCGCCTTGGAAGTTGGCTACACAGGAAGATGCATTTTATTACTTAATGGGTCTGCTCTGTGCCTGATAGGATGAGACAATTTCATTATCTTCAATTAAAAAATCCTTCCTTCCTTTTCTTGTTGGCCCCTCACAGCCAAGTCGTCTTCCCTGTAAGCCAGTCCTGTTTGCCATTTTGCAGTGCACAGAGCTAAGATGGACCTGGCTGGCTTCATAGCTTCGCACTTCTGTTGACTTGTCAGCAGCAAAACCAGATCTGCTGA